ATGAGTCACAGGACCTCTGGTCCAGCTCAGTCACAGGACCCCTGGTCCAGCTCAGTCACAGGACCCCTGGTCCAGGTGAGTCACAGGACCTCTGGTCCAGGTGAGTCATAGGACCCCAGCCCAGGTGAATAAATGAACCTGTGGTACAGGTGACTCAGAGGACCTCTGGTCTAGGTGAGTTACAGAACTCCTGGTCCAAGTGAGTCACAGGACTCCTGGTCCAAGTGAGCCACAGTACCTCTGCTCCAGGTAAATGGTAAATGGACTGTACTTATATAGCACCTTTTTATCTTATTTCAAGATACTCAAAGCGCTTTACACTACAATCTGTGCCCCCATTTACCCATTCATACAGCACTCTACTAGATCTCTACGAAGGTAATTGAACAAATCATTCTAATGAGACTAATCAGTGGTTTATCACATTCATACACTGATGGGACACACATCAGAGGCAATGAGAGGTTCAGTGTCTTGCCCAGGGACACTTCAGCATTGACTGCTGGTAGATTCGAACCCCCAACTCTTGCATTGGAGGACAACTGCTCAAACCACTCAGCCACAGCCGCCCCACCTCAGGTGAGTCTGGTGCTCTGACTCCACATGACCCCTGGTCCAGGTGAGTCATAAGACATCTGATCTGTGTGAGTCACAGGACCCCAGGTGCAGGTGAGTCACAGGACCCCTGGCCCATGTGAGTCCGGTTTCTGACTCTATAGGACCTCTGGTCCATGTGAGTCTGGTCTCTGACTTCACTGGACCTCTGGTCCAGGTCAGTCACAGGACCTCTGGTCCAGGTGAGTCTTGTTTCTGACTCCACCGGACCTTTGGTCCAGTTGAGTCTAGGCTCTGACTCCACAGAACCTCTGGTGCCTGCAAGTCTTGTCTCTGACTTTCCACAGGACCTCTGGTCCCGGTAATTCTGGTCTCTGACTTCACTGGACCTCTCATCCAGGTGATTGTGCTCTCTGACTTCTCCAGACCCTGAAGTTGGTCTGGACAAGCTGGAAGAGCTGATCTTCAAAGTTCTCCGCTCCAGGTTTATGATCAGCTGGACCTTCTGTTTTAATTAATTTAAAACAAAAGCTGACCCATTCTTCACATAACCAGAACTTTTGTTTTTACGTATTTCAGTGATGAAGGCTGCTCTCGGCAGCATCGGAGTGTTGACTGTGATGATTTACTGTCTGTTACTCATCACCACGCTGTCTATGGTTCTTCTCATTTCCGTGTGGATGTACAGACACCAAAAGCCTCCATACGGACAGGTGGACCTCTCTGAGGTGAGTTCACAAGAACATTTTCAACCATATCCATGGGAAACCTGGAATTACTTCAGTGTTGTCCTGGGATTAGAGCTCTGTCTGGTATATGTCTTAAGATTGTACACTCAGATAAATGTCCAACTAGACCCTGAAGTCCTCAAATGTTCAGATGTCATCTGACCAATAATCCAAATGTTTCCAGAAGATCAAACCTTGAAGGTTTTAGATATAAATGTTAGATTATCAGCCTCAGTTTGTCACAGCAGTGTGACGGCTCTAGTGATCTATGACCATATTTATTCAGGTTCCTTCTTCATCCTTGTATGTCCTCCAGGATCCTTGTCCTCCTCCAGCCTCCCCTCTGCTGGGTCTTAAGCCCTTGCAGCTGCTGGAGGTGAAGGCTAGGGGGCGCTTTGGCCAAGTATGGAAGGCCCAGATCCTGAACGAGTTTGTGGCTGTGAAGATCTTCCCCATCCAGGTACAGAGTCCTGGTTCCTCTTCCACGGTTCTTCCATGTGCTGGCATTTCTGAAGGCCCTTCCATGACTCCTCTTCCTTCTGACAGAACAAGAAGTCATGGGAGAACGAGAGAGACGTCTTCATGATTCCGGGGATGAGACATGAGAACATCCTGAGGTTTATCGGTGAGGAGAGACGAGGGAGTCACCTGGAGACCAAGCTGTGGCTCATCACTGAGTTCCACGAGAGGGTGAGGAAGACCACGTCCTGTCCAAGGTCATTCAGGGATGTGGATTGTCTAACCCAACAAGTGCAGAAGACTTTTTAAAATTTTGCTTGAGATTAATGTCAGAGTGTGTCTACAGAGATCAGCTGATGATCTGAAAGGATATCCTGTTCTGAAGGAGACGACATGAACCACGTCTTTAAATGTAGACAAGTCCAAGGGGGTATCCCCAAGGAGCCTCTGATGTCTCATAATACTTAAAAAGGGACTGTATTTCAAATGGTTTTCCTACCAGTGTAAAATAATAAGGGGTCATTGATCCACTTGACGCTCCACCTGCACTCATGGTTTCATGGCAGTTGTCAGTACATTTGGTTTGAGGTCATAGCTGATTATTAGTGGACTATTAGAATGGGATTAAGGGGATTCTTGCTGCTTGAGAAGTTCTGTGGTCTCGTTGCACTGTAAGAGATGCTACTTGTACTTGAGAAGTTTCATAGTCTTGTTGCGCTGTAAGAGATGCTGCTTGAGAAGTTCTATGGTCTTGTTGCACTGTAAGAGATGCTCTTAGTACTAGAGAAGGTTCATGGCCTCGTTGCGCTGTAAGATATGCTACTTGTACGAGAAGTTTCACGATCTTGTTCTGCAAGAGATGCATTCTGGGTTTATCTGATTTGTCCCTACACATGTCTTACTCATATTTTGAGACTGGCTGTCTTGTGGTCCTACAGTGGCTTTGAAAACTAACAAATACAATTCAAGGTAAACAGTAGGAGGTGGGATCTTTAGTGATGGGTGTTGGTCCTTTTCCTACTTTTGGCTCCTCGTTTCAAACCGTTTGGTCCTTTGACTGATTGAGGGGGACGTATTTCAAACCCTGATCTCAGAGATTAGGTTTAGTTATGATGTCTGCACTTTAAATCACAGTTTAAGTCTCTAATTTTTTTCTTTGGTGTAATAAAACTCAGTAAACTTTTAAGGAGAAACAGAAAGGATGTGAACACTTCAGTGCTGTTAAGGACTTTATTAGTCCGAAGGACAATGGACCGTATGAACTGAGGACAGACCTTTCTGATCTTGGTTTGTTGGTACAGGTTGTTAGATGAGACTTCCAGTCCCTAACCCAGGACCTGATGGGGTCTTTGGCTCAATGAATGCAGATCACTGTCTCTGCAGGGCTCTCTGTCGGACTTCCTGAAGGGAAACGTGGTCAGCTGGACCGAGCTGTGTCAGATAACCGAGTCGATGTCTTGCGGCCTGGCATACCTTCATGAGGACATTCCCCGACTGAAAGGAGACCAGCACAAACCGGCCATCGCTCACAGGTTTCTGACTCCCAGAACCACCAGTCCTCCAACAGAACTTAGAGCAGAACCTGCAGGAGGAGCTGAGTGTTCCTGACGAGTTCCGTTTTTGGTTTTCAGGGACTTTAAGAGTAAAAACATCATCCTGCGTTCAGACCTCACCGCCATAATTGCAGACTTTGGCCTCGCCATTTGCTTTGAGCCTGGGAAACCACCTGGAGAGACCCACGGTCAGGTGAGCAGGTGTCTGGAGCTTGAGGTAAACACTCGCCGGTTTTTCATGAACTCACCTGTGTGTTCTCCATGCAGGTGGGCACCAGGCGCTACATGGCTCCAGAGGTTTTAGAAGGAGCCATCAACTTCCAGAGAGATGCCTTCCTTCGGATTGACATATACGCCCTGGGTTTGGTTCTGTGGGAGGTGGTGACCCGCTGCAAGGCTGCAGATGGTACCACAGGAATACAAACACATATCAGGAGGTTCTGTTCAGTTAGATAGTTCACATCAGCCACCAGATGCGGGCGACATAGAATCAAAGATTGGTTCTGATTAAAAAAGGATCCGATACCATCAAAAAGACGTTCTATTAACATTTACATACAGAACCCAACAGAACCACCATGACCTTATAGACACGTGAAGTTCAAACCCATTCTTCCCCTCAATTAATCCCTTGCTCCTTGGTTCTGATGTGTTCAGGTCTGGTGGACGAGTACATGCTGCCGTTTGAGGAGGAAGTGGGTCAGCATCCGACCCTGGAGGACCTGCAGGAAGTCGTGGTCCACAAGAAGATGAGACCAGCCATCAAAGAGTTCTGGCTCGAACACAACGTGAGTGCCTAGGATTCTGACCCAATCCTAGCTCCTACTGGTACCGTTTGATTTCAGCTGGGTCCTGAAGGATGGAGGCTGAGATATTTCCACTGGACCTGTAGGCTGCAGTTGGACTGGTGACTGAAAATGACTCGGTTGCTATAAATGACTCGGTGACTAAAAATGCATTCATTCATTCAACCTTTATTTCTACATTTCCTGATGCTGCTCAATAATCCAGGTAGAAAAATCTAAAAAAGTTAAATCTGGTCCTCTGGACATTCAAAAAACAAAACAAAAAAAACAAAGCAAAACAACAAAAAAAATATATATTTTTTTTGCTTTGTTTTGTTTTTTTGAATGTCCAGAGGACCAGATTTAACTTTTTTTAGACTTTATTTCTACAGGTTAGTCTCATTGAGCCTCGAGGACCCATTTACAAGAGAGACCTGATTTTAACAAAGAACAGAGACGAGGCGCACACGACAATAGAAAATCATATAAAAACATATAAAATGAAAAGTAAATAGAAGAAATTATATAAAAACAAAACAAAAACAGCTACATTATAAAGTGATCTAAAATACTAAAATCAGGAACATGTCTGCGTTGGTTTTTTTCCCATGAACTTATCAGATGTTTGAAGCCACTTAGAGAGGTCAAGGTCGAGAGATTCAGATCTTTTTACAAGATATTCCAGGAAACAGGAGTGGAGAAGGTCGTTTTGCCTAGTTCAGTCTGCACTAGAGCTGTCATTTCTAACCCAAGCCTTAAGCCCGGCCCCACCCGACCTGAACTTGGGGTGGGCCGGGCCATGACAATGTGCTGGATGGGCGGACCGGGTCAGTGTCGGGCTTTTAATTACCATACCATGCCATTTTATTTATAGAGCACTTAAAACAAGAACAAGGCCAACCAAAGTGCTGTACAGACAGAACAACAGGTAACACACAAAGCAAAATACAAAATGAAGTTAATCAGAATATAGACATAAAAACGATGCAGATAATAAGTATGACGACTAATCTTTGTGAAGCAAACAGGATCAAAACACAGATCATCTGGTGTTGAAAGCTACTGAATAGTAGTGGGTTTTTAAACGGGACTTGAAAACCGAGAGGGAGCTTTTAATTAGGTCAGGATCAGCCACAATCCAATTATATGATAACATGGCCTGCCATACATCCACTGCCATTTTACCGCAAGCTGACCGGACTTGAAAAAGGTAAAAAGTTCAGTTAAGCTTCAGCTGTAACTATACTGCCAGGAAGTGATCCATTGCCCAAATGGACATTCATTCAGCCGCTGCACTCAGCGGATGTGCGTGGCTTACGACCCAAACAGGTGAGATCCCAAAGCAGACGTGTCATAGCAGGGTCCGTGTCTGAATAAATCAGAGTGCAGGCAGAAGCGGAGTTTAAATGTTCTTTTATGGCCATGAAATGACAAACACCCCCTCAGCTCCGAATCTTCTTCCCCGTTTATTCAGCTGCGCGTCCCTGACCGTTAATAACTAATTAAAAATGTTGGGTTTTTTTCCGGGTTCGGACCTGTAATTACTGTTAATTTATCAGGTCGGGTGGGGTTCGGAAATTATGACTGCGGGCTGGGGCCGGGTTGGATCAGATTTTCTGGGCCCGAATGAAACTCTAGTCTGCACTGAGGGAATACTGCATGTTATGATGTAAAAAATGGTTATTTGAATTGTTGGTGATGAAGCATGACTAAAAATAACTTGGGGACTATAAATGAATTGTTCGTGACTAAAAATGACTTAAGACTGGTTTCATCCATGTTACCCAAGGACTACAAGGTTCATGTTGGACTTGATGAAAATCCATGGTCCAGCTGGGCTTAATTCAGGTTCTTCAGGTAAAAACCAGACTTATTAATTTCAAAGTTCTTGGAAATATTTTGTCACTAGTGAACCGTTTCCTGCTGGATGCTAGAAGACAGGAAGGGAAATGTGATCGTCTGAAGTTCTTCCGCTGTCTGCTAAAAGATTCTGATGAAGTTCTGGTCTCTGCAGGGTCTGGCTCAGATCTGCGAGACATTGGAGGAGTGCTGGGATCACGATGCCGAGGCTCGGCTGTCCGCAGGCTGCGTGGATGAGAGAATCTCCCAGGTCCGACGCCACACAGCCACCATCATAGCCCCGCCCTCCTCTGAGCACCACGGCTTGCTGTTGTCCTCCATCACACCCATCACCATGGTAACCAATGTGGACCTGTCCCCCAAGGAGGCCAGTATATGAAGAATACATGAAGAGGTCACAGCTGAAATCCCCTCAGACACCAGAACGTCTTCTCTTCAGAGATTTGACATGAAAATACCTGCGCACTCTGTTCCCCCTGGACTTCATGGTCCTGTCTGTGTTTTCTTGTCCTCTGTGAACCTCATGGTCCTTTCTGTGGTTTCTTGTCCTTTGTGGACAGAGTTGTCTTGGGTTTCCCAGTGTCTCTCAGAATGGACTAATCTTGAATCAGATCTGTGTCTCCAGAAACAAAGACTTGTTCAGGTCCAATTCAGTGACTGGTCTTTGGTCTCCAGGTACCTCAGTGTCCTCTTGTCTCGGTTTGTGGACGTCTTATTTCCGACTCTTCCCTTGGCTGTGTTCTGGGTTTTACCTGGTTACCGGTCACGTAGGACCCAACGTCCCCCAGGAGACAGTTGAGCCGTTTGGTTCTACTAAAATGCTGCAAACATTGGTAGGACCACAGAGACGACAAGAACCTAAAAGTTTTTAGACCTTTTTGTGGACTCTTTTCAACTCCTTGAGACCAACGATTCATATCGGACAAACGTTCAGATCAAACGGGGTTTACCCTCAAAGGTAGAACAGGAAGTGAGGTCAGAAACCGGACAGAGTTTGGGTCCAGTGAGGATGTTTTTGTCTCCTGTGTCTCACTTGCAGAGATCTGATTGGACAGCTGAGCTCAGCCAATCAGATTTTAGTAATAAACTTCTCAGGTAACTAGGGAGGGGTCTGATGCGGGACTTCAGGCTTTTACGTTGTGAAAGGGGCGGGGCTAGTGTCAGGTGAGGCCAGTGTTGCCAGATGGAGATGTTACGGTCCTCTGTGAACTTTCAAAAAGCTCATATTTAGTACTTTATGAAAGACTGGGCAGATCAGAGCCTTTCAATCCTTTATAAACCTTTAAACAATTTAATGATTGAAAAAAGTGCTTCCACTTGTGTTTTCCGCAGAAAGAGCCACTGGCCTGGACAGAACAGTCTACAACGATAAAGAATATGTGACGTAAAAACAACGATGTGTTTATTCCTGTTTGGTAATAAATTAATTGAGCCATGCCGTGAAGCCATCAATCTTACAAATACGATATTTATCCTACATCTGGCAACACTGTGTGTGGCCTAAACTGTGTAGTGGGAGGGCTTAAAGTAAACAGTAGGCGGAGTTAAAGTGATTAGTGGGAGGGACTTGAACACTGTTCTGAAAAGGGCCGGAGCATGTTCCCCTAAAAATGGTGCAAAACTCACGGTGCAAAGTGACTGTGTGTGTGTGAGTGAGTGGGTGGGTGTGTAGCAGTCAGACATATTGAATGTTTTCTTCGTCACAAGGTTTTATACCTGCTGATTGTTTAGTTGTTAGATTTTTTTTAAACCTTAAAGTTAGTGAGAGGCCTGTAACCTTTGACCTCCAGCAGAGGTTGTGACCTTTGACCTTCAGCAGCACCATCTTGTGGCAGGGTGTGGTGCTGCATTGGTCTAAACATTTTATTGAATGAATAACAAATCTGGATTGTGTTGTTTTTGTCCACTTGAGGTTAAACAGGATTCATATTAGGACCTGAGAAAAACTGGATCTGGGTCAGATTGTGGAGCAGCTGTGGCTGAGTGGTTAGAGTGGTTGTCCTCCAATGGGAGAGATGGGGGTTTGATTCTACCAGCAGTCACATGCCGAAGTGTCCCTGGGCAAGACACTGAACACCTCATTGCCAACTATGTGTGTCTCATCGGTGTTTGAATGTGAAAAAGCACTGATTGGTCTCTACAGATTCAGATTATATTTGTAGAGATGTAGTAGAGTGCTGTATGAATGTGTGTAGTAGAGTGCTGTATGAATGTGTGTAGTAGAGTGCTGTATGAATGTGTGTAGTAGAGTGCTGTATGAATGTGTGTAGTAGAGTGCTGTATGAATGTGTGTAGTAGAGTGCTGTATGAATGCGTGTAGTAGAGTGCTGTATGAATGTGTGTAGTAGAGTGCTGTATGAATGTGTGTAGTAGAGTGCTGTATGAATGTGTGTAGTAAAGTGCTGTATGAATGCGTGTAGTAGAGTGCTGTATGAATGCGTGTAG